ATCGTTTAAATGCCACGGCCTATCTGAGCATTTTTTTCTGACCATGTCCATCCCTTTATGGCCACCATGTACCCATCCTCTGATGGCTACTTCCAGCAGGACAATGCACCATTTCACAAAGCTCAAATCGTTTCAAATTGGTATTTTGAACGTGACAATGAGTTCACTGTACTTAAATGGCCCCCACAGTCACCAGATCTCAACCCAACAGAGCATCTTTGGGATGTGGTGGAACGGGAGCTTCATTCCCCGGATATGCATCGCACAAATCTCTATCAACTTCAAGATGCTATCCTATCGATATGGGCCAACATTTCTAAAGAATGCTTTCAGCACCTTGTTGAATCAATGTCACGTAGAATTAAGGCAGTTCTGAAGGCGAAAAAGGGGGTCAAACACAGTATTAGAATGGTGTCCCTAATAATCCTTTACGTGAGTGTATATTCCACGTACTGATTCGATATGTGACCCCTGCTGGCAAAATGAATCACATCGAGCACATTTTGAATGAATGTGAATGTGAAATGTGAATGAATCACATTTTCAAAGATGAGTTATGGGCTCTATGCACGGCGGTATTTCCGATAACTTCCGCCGATCGTAGAGTCCAATGCAATACCGGGAATTTATATTGAATTGTATACTCCATGGTTATACTAAAGAAACGTTAGTCACAAAAACAGATAAAACAGACACCCCTCGTTGTTGTTTATGCTTCTTTTTAAAATTATATTAAATAAACATAACTATATATAAAATTACATCTAAACGCATGTACGTTTCGTTTTAAAGACGGGAGGACAGTAAATTTTGAAGACTCTGCCATAATCCCGTTTTCCTCGGTTTTCCTCCGCTTTAATCTCCACAACCGGAAATGGACGAGCATCCTTGCGTCAAATGCGGAATTTATGCGTGCATGTAGCCCATTGTTAGTTTCAATGACTGATCTACACCTGTTTGAAATCGATAGAGTCAGCAAAGTAAATTTTGAGAAAAATTGTGATAAAGATTTCTGAAGGTTCCAAAACAAAATCACCTTGCAAGCATACTTCAACACATAGCTTTGTATGATGTATTGACGTAATTTCCACTGAAACAGGAAGCTAAGGCGGGACATATTGAATGGCTCCTCCCCCTTAGTCTCACCACTAGGCTTCTTTGGACTTTCTGTTTGTTTGTATTTGCTACGTGTGTTCCCCGTCTGAGTTTCCCGCCACCAATTTGTATCCATGGACACTGATCACTTCCCTCACAGTTGCCTGTCATTTTGTAATCATCTTCACTGTGTTTTTAAGTTCCTGCCTGTCTTCACTTCATTGTCCAGTATTGTTTGTGTTTAACACGCTGTCACACCTGTTATCCTGTTCCTGAGTTTTGGTATATTAAAGAAAGTGTTATTTCTACTTTGATCTCCGTCATCCTTCCTACGACCCGTGACATTTAGCTTATTTAGCGTTTAGTTTACTCTAAACTTACATAATGCAAGTCGTTATTGACAGCCCCATGGAAGTGAATCTGAGTGCTGGTGATACTTTGGATTCGATAGTAGAGGTGTGAATAAATCCTGGGAGTTGGCAATAAAAAAAGGAATAAAACTTGAGCAACCGAAAACACATCTCCAACCAGTAGCGTAATTTTTAAAAAGCCGTATATAATTTTAGTATCTTTAATAATTTGGTTGGGTTGAAAAGATTAGTGATGCGTTGTAATTACAGGTTTGGGAAAAGCAATAATGGAAAAAAATTAACATGAATGGATTTAATTTTAGTGAATTTAATAATGGCAACCCTACAAAAAAGTAATTAAAAAAACAAGTGGCAGGAAGATTATTGGCTAATATCCTCATATCCTCTTTGAGACGCTGTGTGTATAAGAGACTGTAAGTAAATGTCAAGTGCCGTGTGTTTAGTTGTGCTCCTGTATTACGGTGAATGACAAGTTGTTGGCTCTTGTTGGCATTTAGTAAGAAGCGCAATCCATGGCAGCAACATAAGCTGACACTCCCAAGCAACCGAAATACTAACAAGGTGTTGATTGCTATCTTTGAAAAACACCGTATTGAAAAGAAAAAGAAAAAAAAATTCCAAGCCTGATTATGTTTATCATGCATGGGGACTGGGCTCTGGCTGGCTTTTCATATGGATGTCAGGTGCTAGGGAGTTTCATTTGCACAACACCCAGTGGTGCATCTGCCTTCGCACCAAATGTGCCCGTCTGTTTGACACAGTCTAACCGCTGACACGGCTGGCACGATCAGCACAAATGATGTGCCGCTGCGCATATGGTACACGCCGCCATTAGTGAGATTGCCGACTAGATGTTCAAGGCAAACAGGGACCTTTGAACAGTGACTCAGATGATATAAATGTCTACTGCCTTGTAAGACAGCAACATCCTCATTCTTTACCCCTGAAGAGTATGCAGTTCAGATTTTGTCAAGTTGGGAATTATTTGCTCTGAGGTCATTGATTTTTATGTGGGTGTTTGGGCACTTTTGGCCCTGTGGACTCTTAGAAAATAAACTTAAACACACTTTTCACTCTCCGTTGTTTATTTCTCTTGTCTACTAACAGTGGATATGCAGGCATAACTGGAAACCTCTATATTTTTCGGAAACATGAACATATCCACGTCTTGAATTGTATTTCTTGTAATGGCATTTTGTAGAAGTGACAGTTTTAAAACCTTCATCAATTAAAAAAGTAGAATTTTAGCATTTTCTAATTACATACAGAATATAAAATGATATTTCCATCCTTTTTGCATAATTTAACAAAACATATTGAATTAAATGACTGCAATAACATGCAGTAACATGCCTCATATTTCATCACTGGCCATCACTGACACTGTTGTCTCCTTGGTTTATATATATATATATATATGAAGAGTTCAGATGCAAAAGCCTCTAAATGCCATTTGAAATTTTCTTCTTTAATGTTGATTTTCATCAAATTTGTATATTTAAGTTCAGTGATTTCACTTAAATGGCAATGATAATTACCTATTAATTGTTATTTAAGTGAAATTACTGAACTTAAATATACAAGTTTGATAAAAATCATCATTAAAGAAGAAAATTTCAAATGGCATTTAGAGGCTTTTGCATCTGAACTCTTCATATATATATATATATATATATATATATATATATATATATATATAGTATATTTAAAAAGAGGAAACCTGTACGAATTTTGTTATGTACATTGTTATTTGTTATATTGTGGTTTTCATTAAGATACATTTGAATTCCTCCATTTCAGACTAGTTGAGGTGATAGATACTGTGCTTTGGCTAATTTAGCAGAGCTGTTGGAAGCTGTAGTGAGAAGAGCTGCTCAGCACTCCCAGCTGTTACACCAAACACACTCAGATACTAACACAGACTGAGATGGCACCGAGAGATCATTAATTACTCTTGCTATTATGATGTTGTCCACCCACACCAGGAGCCTGAGAGAACTAGTAAACTCAAGAGACCTTCACTCACTGACTCCCACTAACTATTTGGATTGCTCACTATTTCTGAGCTAAGCACAGTACCAAATGTTATGTTCATATACTGTGGGGTCCAAATGTCTACAACCACTAGTGAAAATGATGTTTTTTTGTTTGTTTTTTTTCGCTGAAAATTCAGCTTTGCCATCACAGGAAAAAATAAATAAAAATACATTTAAAGGGACACTTCACCCATTTGCATTAAGCTTTGTATCTTTAGAAACCCAGTCATATTTTTGAATGGTCATGGTTTATTCCCTTATTTTCTCCTGAGATGGGAGAAATAAGGATTTAAGTGTTTTACTTCCTGCTTATTATGACGTAAAAATTGTCATTTTGCGTCATTATAAGCAGGAAGTCACTTTTCATTAAAAGTGTAGAGACTACAAACATTAGCTCATTATTATTCAAGGGTGTGGGACCCACTCACACTAGAGGCCTATTACAGATCAGTGGGTGGGACTTCATTTACAGATACTGAATCAATATCAGCCTTCTTGTTTGAAAGCTAAGCTAACAAGCGCTGTGGAGATAATAAGTATGAAAATGACGGAAGAAACTAAACATGATATGGAAGAAGAGGATTTTGAAATTCTGCTGCTGAATCCGATGTTCGTGGCTATCTATACGAGCCGCAATATAGTAAAGAGCAGCTGTAATTCACTAATGAGTTTGCCAGTGTAACGTTAATGGGGTTTATAGTTGTGGGAAGAAGGAGGTGCGGGAACCGGCGGACATTTAAACATTTTAATAGTAAACTGAACAAATACAAAACAAAAGTATAAGCCAGCAGCCCCTCATTGATGACTGATGTAATGTTACTCACAACAGAAACAAAACGCATCATAAAATCAGGCCTGTTCCTCTCTCAATCTACCGTCGTCGCTCCTCATTTATGCTTTCGCTCCTCCATGAGAGATGCGAGACCGGTGCGCGCCTCACAGGTGTCTTTCATTATCACTCACGCCACTGGCCTCGCACCGTCCTGTTACATCCCTCGCCCTCGATCGTCCTGCCTGCCACAGCCAACTAACTAAAAATTTTGTGTGAAATGAATTTCAAACTCTGGTGACAGCTAACGCCTTGTAGACAGAAGGGTGATTTGTCTGTTTGTGCCGTTCTGGATTAGTGGGTGTGGCTTGCGGAGCTGTACAATGTGTTGCATTGTGGGAGTTGTTGTCTTACATACAAATGCACCCCTCGGTCAAGAGGGCACCAAATTCAAAAAATATTTTACATTTCGACTACATGCATATGATCCACTTTCAATAAAGATTAATGTTGAAATTGGTGAAATGCTCCTTTAAGAATATATTAAATTGAAATTTCTATATAAAATAGAAAACACTATTGAATGTATGTAATCTTAATAATTCGAAGAAAAAAATAGGAATTTGACTGTTTTTGTTTAAATAATTGCCTTGGTTAAAGAATTTCAAAAGACCCCAACTTTTTAACAGTAGTATGCCTTGTATTTAGAGGTTTCTCATTTCTCCACAGCTCTCTCTACTGGTAGAGCTGGGGTTTGGTGGCTCTCTTCTCTATGTGGATCCCTGTGATGCCTCATTTGTGAATAAGACCTTTGGGGTAACCCTGAACCCAGGTGGGAACCCGTTTTCTCAGGAAAACTCCAGAGCTGGTAAGTGTCTGCACCAGTGTCTCTTGTGAAATTTTAACCTTATTAAGATGGTATTAACACTTTATACTCTCATCAAAAACTACCTTTAATTTCGATCATTCAGAAAATAATTGGGGAGTGCAACGAATGCATGACATAGGGCAGCTAACTCAGATAAATGGAGAGATTTATGTTTTTATTTTATATCACTTTGCTTGACAGTGGTTATGGAGAAACGTATGAATCAATAAAATAGTTTCCCTTTTCCTTTTCACGGTAGAGTCTTTCTTCAATATTAATCATAATAAAAGAAATTGCATTTTTTTCTTTTCATGTGGTCCAGTTTACTTTCAAGGCAAATACTTTTAATTAGGCTGATAATTTTTACAACAAGAAAGAAATCACATCAGGAAACAATGAGTGAGCGAAAGATAATTACTGTTTTGGACGTCTTTGGTGCCTTACACTTAGACTAGCTCGACGCTAATTAAAAATGTTTCATTTCTCTTTTCTTTTCTCATTTCTCACGACTCTTTTTTTAAAAAAAATAATAATAATAATGAACACAACTAGTTTATGAAATAAAGAATAACTTGAAACAAAAATGACCCACTGATGACAATGCGTCTTTGTGCAAGCAACCAAGTGTGCTGTCCATGGTGCTGAAATCCAACTATGTGCGTGCAGATGCGGTGCTTAAATCAAGTATCCTACAGTTTAAAATTGTTCTGTATTCAGTGATGACAAGCATCAATCAAGTCTAAAACTTTTATTGTGGGCGGTCCATGGTGCTGAAAGTAAAATGGGAGTATGCTGCTGTCCGTGGTGCTGAAAACGAAACCACTCTATTTGAGAATGCTGCTTAGGACAGAAGACCTCAGTGCAGCCCTGGCTGATCCTGGCTCTCTGCAGCGCATGATCACTGGGATGTGTCATTACTGGAGTGATAGTGTGGGCTTACAGCAGGCCACGGAGTCAGGGCACAATGGGGCCTGCAAACAGATGTCTTAGCAGATGTTTCACGCCTGTTCTCTCTTCAGCAAAGCCCTTTGTCAGAGCACTCTGCAGGAAACGAGAACCTGGTGAAGTTGCTGAACACTGTGATGTAAATTATTCAGCTGGACTATTGTCCTTGCAATTGTGTTGTTTGGTAATGAGAGAATATATGCAATGTGCTCTGGTGAACCAATACACAGAACAGCAGAGGTCAGACTCATGTTATATTTATGCTGTCTTTATGATTCATAACTTAAGTTTACATTTTGCTTAGTACTTTTGGAATTATGTGTTTGTTTGTGGCTGTCGATGCAAATCCATGACTTTGTTGCATTCAATCAAAAACAAAAATGTCATCATACAGAGGTTCGAGAGATGTTTATTCATAATTTCTGTAATATTGCTTTCTTGGTTTTTCCCATATGAATTAATTATGAATAACGGTTATTCAAAACCCCTACTGGTAAAAACATATCTATCAGACCTAGCTGATGAAAAGTGTGGTAAAAATTTGTAAAAGTTCATCTTTAGACCTAATTATCCTCTGTAGAGTAATTGCATTTTAATTTGAAATCTCTTTGTTGTACTTTCACATTACCTACTGAGACAGAAGTTGTTAAATGAAAGCAAAGGCCTTTGATAACATTTTCGGACTTAGTCCCCTGCTAGATAACATTATTGTAGCTCCATTGAGATGAATATTTACTTTGAAAAGAATCACCTAAATCTGCAAAAATGAGCAAAGCCTTAAGCCTGTCACTTTAAGTGATAGAAACTTAAAGGGATAGTTCACTTTGAAATTAATTTTTGCTATGTTTTAGCTTACCTCAAGGGCATCCAAGATGTAGGCGTATTTTGTTTCCACAGTATTTCCAATTTTGACATTTTTCAATCAAACCGTTGTTGTCTATCAGTTGTACACTGGAGGTTAAGGGGGTCCACCAAAAAGCATGCACAGAGAAGTCAAAATTAAACATGATTTAATGACTCGAACATGTAAGTACACATTGATGGCCTAAGACACGAAACAAGCGGTTTTTGTATTTCACTTACAAACAGTATTTCACTTACAAACAGTAAGTGATCTGAATTAGTTGTTCAATGTCCAACTGAACCGAACTGAATCAGTTCAATGTTACGCCGGAAGTGATCGCTTGTGTGTGACGTCACTCAATATTTACACGGAGATTTCGGAAGTTTTACCTTTAACTAAACATATTTTGATATGCCTAAATCGTCTTCCATTGCGGTTTCCCGTATATCTAAATATGTTTAGTGAAAGGTAAAACTTCTGAAATCTCTGCATAAACAAAGAGTGACGTAGGCGCGCAAGCGATCACTTCCGGTGCATGCGCAGACCGAAGCGCCAGTGCCGTCAGATCATTTTGTCATGGCTATGATTACAAGAGGTAAAACGATATAAATACTGTTCATTTTCTCACACAAACTGCTCGTTTCTTGTCTTAGGCCATCAATGTGTACTTACATTTGCGAGTCATTAAATCATGTTTAATTTTGACTTCTCTGTGCATGCTTTTTGGTGGACCCCCTTAGCCTCCAGTGTATGACTGATAGACAACAACGGTTTGACTGAAACATGTCAAAATTGAAAATACTGTGGAAACAAAGACACCTACATCTTGGATGCCCTTGAGGTAAGCTAAACATACCAAAAATTTATTTCATAGTGAACTATGCCTTTAATTGATAGTTTTGCCTGTTTATTTGTCACATTTCTTTTTTTTTTTTTTTCTCTCTCCCATCCTGATACTCTGTAATTTGTTTAATATTGTGAGTTCATTACAACTTAAACTCAATGCACAACATTTTTAATGTTGATTACCACAAAAATACATTTTGGCCAATCCTTAAATGTATAGCCACAAGATGATGAACAATATTTGTGTTAACATCTCTTTCAAGTGGAACTCAACGCTGCGTCATGGTTTGAAACAATGGGAACACTTCACGTGAGCCGGTGTCTGAAGCATGTGTCTATAGACACTAGGGCTGTGTTCGATACATCGTATCATCACACACTACTTGTCAAAACGAGTACCGAGACAGCTGCTTCAGCATTGATTCCTCAGCATGTGCGCACAAGTCAGAGCCGATCCTCCCTACGCAAGCATAGAGCCCCACAAATTGCTCAAGGTCCCGCCTCCCCCTTGTGTCAAAGCGCGTCAATCAAAGTTTACAACATCGATGAGATAATTAAGCGGAACTATCCTTCTGGTTACGAAAATGAGAGTGAGTGAAAAACACCATAAGAGTGAATTGCGGGAACAGCGATCAGGCAGACTTGTGTACTCTCCTCTCCAAGTTTGATGTCAGCAAAGAACAGTAACGTTAAGTTGATGTGAATCTCTCTCTATCTGTCTGTCTAACCTACGTAGCAGCAGTGCATCTTTTGGTCTTTCTGTGTCTGGATTGCTAATGCCGGCCACTTCCAGGGCTGTGTTCTGTGCCTTTGTGCCAGACAAAAAGAAAAAGGGAGATAGAAATATGTATTATGTTTGATAACACAAAGGCCAACAGTGTTTGTTTATAACTGCAGCTCAGAAAAGATAACCGCGTCGCGCATTAACATAAGTTCATATGCTCTTGCACGAAATGAAGCACACATTTTTCCAGTAAAACATCTATGGGGACCAGTTACCAGTACAATGTGGGCGTGATGGCACTCCTCATTAGGCGCTCATACTTTTAAAAGAAGACAGTGATTATCTAGTCTCTGCAATAAAGCAAGATGGAAAGCACTCTATTGATATTGACTATATTGCATTTAAAATGTTGATTGGCTGGACATACTGGTCAATATGGATGCACATCCCTCAATAAATAATAAAAACCATCAAGTTTCAATTATTGCTTTTATCATTTTAAACAGTGGCAAGCCATTTTAGCTTTTATTAATTCACAGGATGCATTTTTGAAATCAATAATCGAATTTGCACTTTTTAAAAAGTGAATTATTGATTTTAATATGTCTATTTCTGATGTCAGTAATTACATTTTCATTAGTACTAACTAAACGAGGGAGAATTGGGGTGTCAGGTGTGACTGTGTGGCAAATGGTTTACATGGCTCATGGCTCAGGTAGGAGGGCCCCTTAACAGATTTTTGCTTAGGGCCCCCGGGAGGTCAGGATCGGCTCTGCCATTAGTGGATGCCGCTCGACTTGAATAGAAGAACATAACTGGGTTGTCTGATATCAAGATGCATAATCACTCAATCAGAGCTTCACACTTGCGCAATACGGAAATATCTGATAAGTGCTTTACTTGGCAACCATGTGCATGTACTCTGTCTCCACTGTGGATAAAAGTGCTGGCTTTCTGGAAACTAAGCTTGCAGTTTAGTGATCTCTTGTTCGATAATCTATTCAAAGAAAAGTAAAATACATCAATTATTTACGGGCCTGAGAGAGATTACCTATATTGTAATGCAGTGCTACAGAGGCCCTTCTTAATACAAAGTGCAACTGCCTGCTCTGCCTATAGTTATCAATGGCCTCATAGTATGCAGTGTTAATAAACAGCTGTTATACTAAATTCTGCTGAGGTGAAATTTATTGCAGACCCATATCGTGACCTCTGTATCAGGATACGTATCGTGCCAATCAAGCGGCAACATTTTAATCTGAAACATGAAGCCTACTCGGAAGTGCTAAAAACTGCAATTCATCGAAAATCCACTAGAGGCCGGTCCCAAAAGGGAGCAGATGTCCATAGACACCATGTTAAAATGACAGTTTTCACAGCATAAATTCATGCTTTTACAGGTTGGTGCCATGGACTTATATTGTAATCTTCAATAAGTTCCGTGTGCCTGACAACTGTGAGGGGGGTGAATTTTTTTCTAACTCATTAGTTTAGATCGTATTTAGATATAAAATTTATGACAAATAAGGGCGGTTAACTTTTATTGACAGCTGATAACGGGCTGCGCAGAGTGAATTTGACGTCTCTGACACAACACATCATACCACCTCTGTATCCTTTCTGAACATTTGTATTTTGTAT